CCTTTAGCTTAGCGGTGGTGACGTGAAGTCATGTGACCGTGCTGTAGTTCCTTTATAGCCCAACATTAGCCTCCTTTAGCTTAGCGGTGGTGAAGTCATGTGACCGTGCTGTAGTTCCTTTATAGCCCAACATTAGCCACCTTTAGCTTAGCGGTGGTGACGTGAAGTCATGTGACCGTGCTGTAGTTCCTTTATAGCCCAACATTAGCCTCCTTTAGCTTAGCGGTGGTGACGTGAAGTCATGTGACCGTGCTGTAGTTCCTTTATAGCCCAACATTAGCCACCTTTAGCTTAGCGGTGGTGAAGTCATGTGACCGTGCTAATATCCAACATGGCGTCTGCCCTCTCCTCTGCAGGCGGCGAGGGAGCTGGTGTTGGAGGTGATCAGAGAGAAAGATGGAGATTTCCGGTCGGGACGCAGCGACTTCAGCGCCCGTCTGGGAGGAGCCAGCCTGGACGTACGGCACAAACAAACGCACCTCGCTAGCTTGTGTTAGCAGCTAGCATGTTTTTAAAAGGGTCCGATTTTTCTTGAGTCACTCTTTAAAAGTTTCATTCATGTCTAGTCCGTCTCTCTGCAGGTTCCAGTTCCCAGGTTCGCTGTGGGCATCGTGATCGGCAGGAACGGAGAGATGATCAAGAAGATCCAGAATGATGCCGGTGTCAGGATCCAGTTCAAAGCAGGTCTGTTTACACCAGAGAATCCAGATTAATGTGGTTTGTTTACACCAGAGAATCCAGATTAATGTGGTCTGTTTACACTAGAGAATCCAGATTAATGTGGTTTGTTTACACTAGAGAATCCAGATTAATGTGGTCTGTATACACCAGAGAATCCAGATTAATGTGGTCTGTTTACACCAGAGAATCCAGATTAATGTAGTCTGTTTACACCAGAGAATCCAGATTAATGTGGTTTGTTTACACTAGAGAATCCAGATTAATGTGGTTTGTTTACACTAGAGAATCCAGATTAATGTGGTCTGTATACACCAGAGAATCCAGATTAATGTGGTCTGTTTACACCAGAGAATCCAGATTAATGTGGTTTGTTTACACTAGAGAATCCAGATTAATGTGGTCTGTATACACCAGAGAATCCAGATTAATGTGGTCTGTTTACACCAGAGAATCCAGATTAATGTGGTCTGTTTACACCAGAGAATCCAGATTAATGTGGTCTGTATACACCAGAGAATCCAGATTAATGTGGTCTGTTTACACCAGAGAATCCAGATTAATGTGGTTTGTTTACACTAGAGAATCCAGATTAATGTGGTTTGTTTACACTAGAGAATCCAAATTAATGTGGTCTGTATACACCAGAGAATCCAGATTAATGTGGTCTGTTTACACCAGAGAATCCAGATTAATGTGGTTTGTTTACACTAGAGAATCCAGATTAATGTGGTCTGTATACACCAGAGAATCCAGATTAATGTGGTTTGTTTACACTAGAGAATCCAGATTAATGTGGTCTGTATACACTAGAGAATCCAGATTAATGTGGTCTGTATACACTAGAGAATCCAGATTAATGTGGTCTGTTCACACCAGAGAATCCAGATTAATGTGGTCTGTTTACACCAGAGAATCCAAATTAATGTGGTTTGTTTACACCAGAGAATCCAGATTAATGTGGTCTGTTTACACTAGAGAATCCAGATTAATGTGGTTTGTTTACACCAGAGAATCCAGATTAATGTGGTTTGTTTACACCAGAGAATCCAGATTAATGTGGTCTGTTTACACTAGAGAATCCAGATTAATGTGGTTTGTTTACACCAGAGAATCCAGATTAATGTGGTCTGTTTACACTAGAGAATCCAGATTAATGTGGTTTGTTTACACCAGAGAATCCAGATTAATGTGGTTTGTTTACACTAGAGAATCCAGATTAATGTGGTTTGTTTACACCAGAGAATCCAGATTAATGTGGTCTGAGAATCCAGATTAATGTGGTCTGTTTACACTAGAGAATCCAGATTAATGTGGTCTGTTTACACTAGAGAATCCAGATTAATGTGGTTTGTTTACACCAGAGAATCCAGATTAATGTGGTCTGAGAATCCAGATTAATGTGGTCTGTTTACACCAGAGAATCCAGATTAATGTGGTTTGTTTACACTAGAGAATCCAGATTAATGTGGTCTGTTTACACCAGAGAATCCAGATTAATGTGGTCTGTTTACACCAGAGAATCCAGATTAATGTGGTCTGTTTACACTAGAGAATCCAGATTAATGTGGTCTGTTTACACCAGAGAATCCAGATTAATGTGGTTTGTTTACACCAGAGAATCCAGATTAATGTGGTTTGTTTACACCAGAGAATCCAGATTAATGTGGTCTGTATACACCAGAGAATCCAGATTAATGTGGTCTGTTTACACCAGAGAATCCAGATTAATGTGGTTTGTTTACACCAGAGAATCCAGATTAATGTGGTTTGTTTACACCAGAGAATCCAGATTAATGTGGTCTGTTTACACCAGAGAATCCAGATTAATGTGGTTTGTTTACACTAGAGAATCCAGATTAATGTGGTCTGTTTACACCAGAGAATCCAGATTAATGTGGTCTGTTTACACCAGAGAATCCAGATTAATGTGGTCTGAGAATCCAGATTAATGTGGTCTGTTTACACCAGAGAATCCAGATTAATGTGGTCTGTTTACACCAGAGAATCCAGATTAATGTGGTCTGTTTACACCAGAGAATCCAGATTAATGTGGTTTGTTTACACTAGAGAATCCAGATTAATGTGGTCTGTTTACACCAGAGAATCCAGATTAATGTGGTCTGTTTACACCAGAGAATCCAGATTAATGTGGTTTGTTTACACCAGAGAATCCAGATTAATGTGGTCTGTATACACCAGAGAATCCAGATTAATGTGGTCTGTTTACACCAGAGAATCCAGATTAATGTGGTTTGTTTACACCAGAGAATCCAGATTAATGTGGTCTGTATACACCAGAGAATCCAGATTAATGTGGTCTGTTTACACCAGAGAATCCAGATTAATGTGGTTTGTATACACCAGAGAATCCAGATTAATGTGGTCTGTTTACACCAGAGAATCCAGATTAATGTGGTTTGTTTACACTAGAGAATCCAGATTAATGTGGTCTGTTTACACCAGAGAATCCAGATTAATGTGGTCTGTTTACACCAGAGAATCCAGATTAATGTGGTCTGAGAATCCAGATTAATGTGGTCTGTTTACACCAGAGAATCCAGATTAATGTGGTCTGTTTACACTAGAGAATCCAGATTAATGTGGTCTGTTTACACCAGAGAATCCAGATTAATGTGGTCTGTTTACACCAGAGAATCCAGATTAATGTGGTTTGTTTACACTAGAGAATCCAGATTAATGTGGTCTGTTTACACCAGAGAATCCAGATTAATGTGGTCTGAGAATCCAGATTAATGTGGTTTGTTTACACCAGAGAATCCAGATTAATGTGGTTTGTTTACACCAGAGAATCCAGATTAATGTGGTCTGTTTACACCAGAGAATCCAGATTAATGTGGTTTGTATACACCAGAGAATCCAGATTAATGTGGTCTGTTTACACCAGAGAATCCAGATTAATGTGGTTTGTTTACACCAGAGAATCCAGATTAATGTGGTTTGTTTACACCAGAGAATCCAGATTAATGTGGTCTGTATACACCAGAGAATCCAGATTAATGTGGTCTGTTTACACCAGAGAATCCAGATTAATGTGGTTTGTTTACACCAGAGAATCCAGATTAATGTGGTCTGTTCACACCAGAGAATCCAGATTAATGTGGTCTGAGAATCCAGATTAATGTGGTTTGTTTACACCAGAGAATCCAGATTAATGTGGTCTGTATACACCAGAGAATCCAGATTAATGTGGTCTGAGAATCCAGATTAATGTGGTTTGTTTACACCAGAGAATCCAGATTAATGTGGTTTGTTTACACCAGAGAATCCAGATTAATGTGGTCTGTTTACACCAGAGAATCCAGATTAATGTGGTTTGTTTACACCAGAGAATCCAGATTAATGTGGTTTGTTTACACTAGAGAATCCAGATTAATGTGGTCTGTTTACACCAGAGAATCCAGATTAATGTGGTCTGTATACACTAGAGAATCCAGATTAATGTGGTCTGTTTACACCAGAGAATCCAGATTAATGTGGTCTGTTTACACTAGAGAATCCAGATTAATGTGGTTTGTTTACACCAGAGAATCCAGATTAATGTGGTCTGTATACACTAGAGAATCCAGATTAATGTGGTTTGTATACACTAGAGAATCCAGATTAATGTGGTCTGTATACACTAGAGAATCCAGATTAATGTGGTTTGTATACACTAGAGAATCCAGATTAATGTGGTTTATATTATCACAATATGTTTTACTGTGTCCACCAGTGTAACCCAGATTAAACCAGCCTCTTTTAACCAGTATAATCCAAATTAAACCAGTGTGTTCTGGTGGTATAATCCAGATTAAACAACAATAAAATATGTATGATTACATCCAAGTAATCCAAATGTAATCGTACTAAAAAGACTATTGAGCCAGATTTGTTTACACCAGTATAATCCAGATTAGACCAGTCTGTTTAAACCAGTATAATCCAGATTAAGGGCTCTTGTTGACCTCTGACCTCTCGCTGCAGATGACGGCATCAGTCCAGAGCGTGTTGCCATGGTGATGGGACAACCGGATCGCTGCCAGCACGCCGTGCACCTGATCAATGAACTGATCCAGACCGCACAGGTAACACACACACTCACACTCACTCGGTCACACACAGACAGACAGACAGGTAACACAGACACAGACACAGACAGACAGGTAACACAGACACAGACAGACAGGTTACACAGACACACACAGACAGGTAACACAGACACAGACAGGTTACACAGACACACACTCACACAGACAGGTAACACAGACACAGACAGACAGGTAACACAGACACAGACAGACGGGAGACACAGACAGACAGGTAACACAGACACAGACAGACAGGTTACACAGACACACACTCACACAGACAGGTAACACAGACACAGACAGGTTACACAGACACACACTCACACAGACACACACACAGACAGGTAACACAGACACAGACAGACAGGTAACACAGACACACACACTCACACAGACAGGTAACACAGACACAGACAGACAGGTTACACAGACACAGACAGGTTACACAGACACACACAGACAGGTAACACAGACACAGACAGACAGGTAACACAGACACAGACAGACAGACAGGTTACACAGACACACACTCACACAGACAGGTAACACAGACACAGACAGACGGGTAACACAGACACAGACAGACGGGAGACACAGACAGACAGGTAACACAGACACAGACAGACAGGTTACACAGACACACACTCACACAGACAGGTAACACAGACACAGACAGGTTACACAGACACACACTCACACAGACAGGTAACACAGACACACACAGACAGGTTACACAGACACACACAGACAGGTAACACAGACACAGACAGACAGACAGGTTACACAGACACACACTCACACAGACAGGTAACACAGACACAGACAGACGGGTAACACAGACACAGACAGACGGGAGACACAGACAGACAGGTAACACAGACACAGACAGACAGGTTACACAGACACACACTCACACAGACAGGTAACACAGACACAGACAGGTTACACAGACACACACTCACACAGACAGGTAACACAGACACACACACAGACAGACAGGTTACACAGACACACACACAGACAGGTAACACAGACACAGACACAGACAGACAGGTAACACAGACACAGACAGACGGGAGACACAGACACAGACAGACAGGTTACACAGACACACACACAGACAGGTAACACAGACACAGACAGACAGGTTACACAGACACACACACAGACAGACAGGTAACACAGACACACACAGACTCACTCGGTCACTCACACAGACAGGTAACACAGACACACACAGACAGGTAACACAGACACACACAGACACACAGGTAACACAGACACAGACTCACTCGGTCACTCACACTGACGGGTAACACAGACACACACAGACAGGTAACACACACACACACAGACACACAGACAGGTAACACAGACACAGACAGACAGGTTACACAGACACACACTCACACAGACAGGTAACACAGACACACAGACAGGTTACACAGACACACACTCACACAGACAGGTAACACAGACACACACACAGACTCACTCGGTCACACACACAGACAGGTAACACAGACACACACAGACTCACTCGGTCACTCACACAGACAGGTAACACAGACACACACAGACTCACTCGGTCACTCACACAGACAGGTAACACAGACAGGTGAAAATATGATCAGGAAAAATATTTTGATAGAAAAAAAAAGTCAGAATTCAGATATTTCCTAAAAATCAAAAGAAAAAATAAATATTTATCTTTTTTGGATTTCTGAGATTTTCAGAAGGAAAAACTCGAGAGATTTAGTTTAGTTTTTTTCAGGAGGAAAACTTTCTGAAAACATTCAGTTATTTAGAATTCTGAGACTTTCAGGAAAAAAAAGAAATTCTGAAAAATATTTTCTCTTTAAAAAAAAAAAAAAAAAACACCTTATTTTTTAGTTCTGATAAAAAACAGAATTCAGACTTTTTTTTTTCTAACAAAAAAAAATATATATATATTGTCAGAAAATGACAGTAAACGTCTGCATATAAAGTTAAAGTATATTTATAATGTGTAATGTTTGTGCAGGAGCGTGACGGGTTCGGCTCGGCGCTGCGCAGCGGTAGGATCAGGGGCCGTGGTGATTGGACGATGGGATCCCCCGGGCCGCTACAGGAAGTGACATACACCATCCCCGCTGACAAGTGCGGACTGGTCATCGGCAAAGGTAAGAAACCTGCCTCAGTGTAAACAGGAAGTCAACATTAGAGAATGCTGATGACCAGAAATCAGGGTTTTCATTGGTTCTGATCCAACACTTTTTAGATTTCATGTAGTATTTCTGTGTGTGTCCCTGAAGGCAGCATCCCTCTGGTCCAATGGGATTCCTCCGTGTGATTATGTCAGAAAACCATCTCTGTGTGAAATCAGGAGAATCTCAACACATGAACACACTTTGTGATTTCTGAAGCTGACGATGTTAAAATCTCGTGTGTGTGTGTGTGTGTGTGTGTGTGTGTGTGTGTGTGTGTGTGTGTGTGTGTGTGTGTGTGTGTGTGTGTGTGTGTGTGTGTGTGTGTGTGTGTGTGTGTGTGTGTGTGTGTGTGTGTGTGTGTGTGTGTGTGTGTGTGTGTGTGTGTGTGTGTGTGTGTGTGTGTGTGTGTGTGTGTGTGTGTGTGTGTGTGTGTGTGTTATTCATGAGCATTGTCCAATTGAAGGTCTCCTCTAACAATGGGGCACCAGACGCACAGAAACAGACCATATGGTGTCTAAACGTCGGGTACTTGACATTTCTGTTTCTTTTTGTGTCTTTTATTTTGAAAGCTGCTGCTCGACCCTCTTGACCTCCAAACACACACAGCGATGAATGGCTGATGTTCTTAAGCGTTTTTTAAGTAGATAAAGAGCGGGGCTTGCTGTTCGCCATTGTTGTTTTCTTTTAAAGGGTTAAAGCCCCTTCTTCCAGGCTGCAGAGCACACAGGCTTCTGTGCAGACCGGACCCACCTTTTCTGCTCTTTCTCTAATACAACTTCACTTTTTTAATTCAATATTGAACAGACTTGTTCTAGGCCCTAGTGTTACAGTATCTGGTTAACTCAAGCTCAAGAGATTTAACATTTTGTTCTATGATATAAAATACGTCAGTAAATAAATAAAGGAACAAGTGTCTAAATGAGACGACTAAACGTCAGCACACCCAACATTAGCCACCTTTAGCTTAGCGGTGGTGACGTGAAGTCATGTGACCGTGCTGTAGTTCCTTTATAGCCCAACATTAGCCACCTTTAGCTTAGCGGTGGTGACGTGAAGTCATGTGACCGTGCTGTAGTTCCTTTATAGCCCAACATTAGCCACCTTTAGCTTAGCGGTGGTGACGTGAAGTCATGTGACCGTGCTGTAGTTCCTTTATAGCCCAACATTAGCCACCTTTAGCTTAGTGGTGGTGACGTGAAGTCATGTGACCGTGCTGTAGTTCCTTTATAGCCCAACAATTAGCCTCCTTTAGCTTAGCGGTGGTGACGTGAAGTCATGTGACCGTGCTGTAGTTCCTTTATAGCCCAACATTAGCCGCCTTTAGCTTAGCGGTGGTGACGTGAAGTCATGTGACCGTGCTGTAGTTCCTTTATAGCCCAACATTAGCCGCCTTTAGCTTAGCGGTGGTGACGTGAAGTCATGTGACCGTGCTGTAGTTCCTTTATAGCCCAACATTAGCCACCTTTAGCTTAGCGTGGTGGTGACGTGAAGTCATGTGACCGTGCTGTAGTCCTTTATAGCCCAACATTAGCCACCTTTAGCTTAGCGGTGGTGACGTGAAGTCATGTGACCGTGCTGTAGTTCCTTTATAGCCCAACATAGCCACCTTTAGCTTAGCGGTGGTGACGTGAAGTCATGTGACCGTGCTGTAGTTCCTTATAGCCCAACATTAGCCTCCCATTTAGCTTAGCCGGTGGTGACGTGAAGTCATGTGACCGTGCTGTCGATTCCTTATAGCCCAACATTAGCCTCCTTAGCTTAGCGGGGGGATGGTGAAGTTCATGTGACCGTGCTGTAGTTCCATTTATAGCCCAACATTAAGCCACCTTTAGCTTAGCGTGGTGACGTGAAGTCATACTTGTGACCGTGCTTGTAGTTCCTTTCTAGCCCAACATTAGCCACCTTTAGCTTAGCGGTGGGTGACGTGAAGTCATGTGACCGTTGCTGGTAGTTCACTTTATCGCCCAACATTAGCCTCCTTTAGTTTAGCGGTGGTGACGTGAAGTCATGTTGACCGTGCTGTAGTTCCTTTATAGCCCAACATTAGCCGCCTTTAGCTTAGCGGTGGTGACGATGACGTCATGTGACCGTGCTTGTAGTTCCTTTTTATAGCCCAACATTAGCCACCTTTAGCTTAGCGTGGTGGGTTTTTGGGAAACGTGAAGTCATGTGCACCGTTGCTGTAGTTCCTTTATAGCCCAACATTAGCCACCTTTAGCTTAGCGGTGGTGACGTGAAGTCATGTGACCGTGCTGTAGTTCCTTTATAGCCCAACATTAGCCACCTTTAGCTTAGCGGTGGTGACGTGAAGTCATGTGACCGTGCTGTAGTTCCTTTATAGCCCAACATTAGCCACCTTTAGCTTAGCGGTGGTGACGTGAAGTCATGTGACCGTGCTGTAGTTCCTTTATAGCCCAACATTAGCCACCTTTAGCTTAGCGGTGGTGACGTGAAGTCATGTGACCGTGCTGTAGTTCCTTTATAGCCCAACATTAGCCTCCTTTAGCTTAGCGGTGGTGACGTGAAGTCATGTGACGTGCTGTAGTTCCTTTATAGCCCAACATTAGCCGCCTTTAGCTTAGCGGTGGTGACGTGAAGTCATGTGACCGTGCTGTAGTTCCTTTATAAGCCCAACATTAGCCACCTTTAGCTTAGCGGTGGTGACGTGAAGTCATGTGACCGTGCTGTAGTTCCTTTATAGCCCAACATTAGCCTCCTTTAGCTTAGCGGTGGTGACGTGAAGTCATGTGACCGTGCTGTAGTTCCTTTATAGCCCAACATTAGCCTCCTTTAGCTTAGCGGTGGTGACGTGAAGTCATGTGACCGTGCTGTAGTTCCTTTATAGCCCAACATTAGCCACCTTTAGCTTAGCGGTGGTGACGTGAAGTCATGTGACCGTGCTGTAGTTCCTTTATAGCCCAACATTAGACGCCTTTAGCTTAGCGGTGGTGACGTGAAGTCATGTGACCGTGCTGTAGTTCCTTTATAGCCCAACATTAGCCACCTTTAGCTTAGCGGTGGTGACGTGAAGTCATGTGACCGTGCTGTAGTTCCTTTATAGCCCAACATTAGCCACCTTTAGCTTAGCGGTGGTGACGTGAAGTCATGTGACCGTGCTGTAGTTCCTTTATAGCCCAACATTAGCCACCTTTAGCTTAGCGGTGGTGACGTGAAGTCATGTGACCGTGCTGTAGTTCCTTTATAGCCCAACATTAGCCACCTTTAGCTTAGCGGTGGTGACGTGAAGTCATGTGACCGTGCTGTAGTTCCTTTATAGCCCAACATTAGCCTCCTTTAGCTTAGCGGTGGTGAAGTCATGTGACCGTGCTGTGGTTCCTTTATAGCCCAACATTAGCTTCTTACTTCAGAAATCATAACGTGGTGTTAATATGTGGAGATTCTCCTTCTCAACTAAATGTGTAAGAATCTTAAATGTTTGAGAGAGAGATGCTGCCTTCAGGGTCCACCACAGAAACTCTACATCCCTGCCTCCCTGTGTGTAACTGAACGATGTGTGTGTTGCAGGAGGAGAAACCATTAAGAGTATTAACCAGCAGTCTGGAGCTCATGTGGAGCTGCAGAGGAACCCCCCCCCCTCCACCGACCCCAACACCCGGGTCTTCACCATCAGAGGCTCCGCCCAGCAGATGGACCTGGCCCGGCAGCTCATCGACGACAAGATCGGGGTACGCAAAACAAACGCACCTGTAACGACACGCCGTGAAGCCATGTGCTAACAGACCTGAAAACAAACGCACCTGTAACGACACGCCGTGAAGCCGTGTGCTAACAGACCTGAAAACAAACGCACCTGTAACGACACGCCGTGAAGCCGTGTGCTAACAGACCTGAAACAAACGCACCTGTAACGACACGCCGTGAAGCTGTGTGCTAACAGACCTGAAAACAAACGCACCTGTAACGACACGCCGTGAAGCCGTGTGCTAACAGACCTGAAAACAAACGCACCTGTAACGACACGCCGTGAAGCCGTGTGCTAACAGACCTGAAAACAAACGCACCTGTAACGACACGCCGTGAAGCCGTGTGCTAACAGACCTGAAAACAAACGCACCTGTAACGACACGCCGTGAAGCCGTGTGCTAACAGACCTGAAAACAAACGCACCCGTAACGACACGCCGTGAAGCCGTGTGCTAACAGACCTGAAAACAAACGCACCCGTAACGACACGCCGTGAAGCCGTGTGCTAACAGACCTGAAAACAAATGCACCCGTAACGACACGCCGTGAAGCCGTGTGCTAACAGACCTGAAAATAAACGCACCCGTAACGACACGCCGTGAAACCATGTGCTAACAGACCTGAAAACAAACGCACCTGTAACGACACGCCGTGAAGCCATGTGCTAACAGACCTGAAAACAAACGCACCTGTAACGACACGCCGTGAAGCCGTGTGCTAACAGACCTGAAAACAAACGCACCTGTAACGACACGCCGTGAAGCCGTGTGCTAACAGACCTGAAAACAAACGCACCTGTAACGACACGCCGTGAAGCCATGTGCTAACAGACCTGAAAACAAACGCACCTGTAACGACACGCCGTGAAGCCGTGTGCTAACAGACCTGAAAACAAACGCACCTGTAACGACACGCCGTGAAGCCGTGTGCTAACAGACCTGAAAACAAACGCACCTGTAACCACACGCCGTGAAGCCATGTGCTAACAGACCTGAAAACAAATGCACCCGTAACGACACGCCGTGAAGCCGTGTGCTAACAGACCTGAAAACAAACGCACCTGTAACGACACGCCGTGAAGCCGTGTGCTAACAGACCTGAAAACAAACGCACCTGTAACCACACGCCGTGAAGCCATGTGCTAACAGACCTGAAAACAAATGCACCCGTAACGACACGCCGTGAAGCCGTGTGCTAACAGACCTGAAAACAAACGCACCTGTAACGACACGCCGTGAAACCATGTGCTAACAGATGACCAATAGAAAGATATAAATAAAGGAATAAATACGACACTAAAATAAGTGAAGAAGTAAATTCATTAAAAAAAATTAGAATAAAAAATATGGAACATTTTGGACTAAATACAATGAATAATTGATAAATAAGTAAGTACAAATATAATATTTATAAAGTGAATATATACTTAATTAAACAAATAAATAGCTCAGACGACAAGATCGGGGAACGCAAAACAAACACACCTCTCAGGACACGAAGTCAAACAGGAACTACATAAATGAAAAGTGAAACACATTTGAAATATATAAGAATTAATATACTCACTCTCAGACTCACTCACACACACACTCCCTCACACGCACACACACTCACACACACGCTCCCTCACACGCACACACACACACGCCGTCAAACCATGTTCTCTGCTCACAGGGGAAAAAAATGAGAATGAAAAGAGGAACACATTTGAAATATATAAGAATTAATATACAAACTCACACACACACTCAGTCACGCACACTCAGTCACGCACACTCAGTCACGCACACTCAGTCTCGCACACTCAGTCACGCACACTCACTCGCACACTCAGTCACGCACACTCACTCGCACACTCAGTCACGCGCACACACACTCACTCACACGCATTCACACACACACACTCACTCGCACCCTCACTCAAAACACTCAGACACACGCACACACACTCTCAGACGCACACTCACACAGGCCGTCAAACCATGTTCACGGGGAAAACCTTTTTGAGGATTAGGGCCACGTGAAAAAATGTTTTAATTATTAAAGTAATAATTCTGACTTTTCTCCAATTTCTTAAAAAGTGTTTAGTTACTTATTTAAAAATGTTTTCCTTATTATATATTTATTTTTTACATTTCCACATTTAATAAATGTTTTTGGCAAATCCATACATTGAACTAATGGGCTGATTTATTGATGGAAGTAAACGTCTCTGGAGTTAAGAAATGTTCCTGAGGTATTGCAATGATACATTTCTTTGCAGATGAAATATTAGATATATTCACAGTTGTAATAATATAATAAACGTGTGTGTCCTCTGCAGGGCTCAGGCATCATGAGCAACGGAGGGTTCGGCTTCAGTCCTTTCACCCAGGGCCCGGCCGCACACCAGAAGTAAGCTCACAACGCAGCCGCTAAATATCAAGAGAAACATGAATATCCTTCCAGTTTGAAGTGGTTTATTAAGGAGATCAAACATCACAGAAAAACATGAATATTGTCTGTCATTAAAGTGGTGAATTTTGTAGAAACAAAACTGAATTTGGAGATTTATTTTTCTATTTTGAGATGTTTCTATTTTAGCATTGTTTTTATGTTCAATGACTTGTTTTGTTTTATGCTGCAATACAACAACCTTTTCCCTAAATTGCGATTAATAAAGTAAATCTTATCTTAAAGCGGTGAAGTTATGACAAGTAAATCCCAAATGTACAGGACGATACCTGGCATTCAAATTACAAGAGAAGAAGTAAAAACATATGACGGAAACTTGAGAGTTGTCTTTGCTTTAAAGGGGATGAAATGATAAGAAAGAACCATCTTATTTGTATTGTTTAAAAAACTGTAATATTGTATATTGTGTAGAAACTCAGTGATTTAATGTGTGTGTAGCTGTGGCAGCGGGCAGACCTTCCTGACCGGCGTCTGGGGAAACACCTACCAGACGAACTGGCAGAACGCTGGACAACAGGACCCTGGTAACACACACACACACACACACACTAATTCACACTCGCATGCACACACTAATTCACACACACTCACACTAATTCACACACTCACACACACACACTCGCATGCACACACACACACGCACACTCAGTCACTCACTCACACACTTACTCACTCACACACTTAGTCACACACACTCACGCACACACTCTGTCACGCACACGCTACACACACACACGCTCACTCACTCAGTCACAGAAGCACACACAGACACACGCTCACACACAAACTCACTCAAACACATTCACACGCACACAGTCACACACACTCACGCTCACTCTCACACACACACTCACTCAGTCACACACACTCTCACACTCGGTCACACTCGCACATGCACACATACACACTCACACACACACACTCACGCACACGCTCACTCTCACACACACACTCACTCAGTCACACACACTCTCACACTCGGTCACACGCACACATACACACTCAGACACACTCACTCACTCGCACACACACACTCAGTCACACACACTCAGTCACACGCACACTCACAGGAATATATTTAGTTACATTTAAATTCGGTGTAAATACTTGTCTTTAGCAAATCCTTTTTTAATGCTAAATTGTTTCTTAAAAATACTTACGTTTTACTATCCTTATATATTTCCTTTTTTTTTTACCTACTTTGCAACTTATTCTTTCAGATTGTTTATGTCCTCAGCGCCAGACACCAAAGCAGATTCCTTGTATGTGTGAACGCACCTGGCGATAAACTGGATTCTGATAAACGTTCAATGTTATTTAGCTTCAGATTTAACCACGCGTGTCATTAACACATGACCCTCCCACTACGGCACCAACAATAAATACAATGTTCTGAATGTAATACCCCAGAGATGTTGTTTCACACATTGCATTCAAAGTGTGTAAATTCTGTGTGTGTGTGTGTGTGTGCGTGTGTGTGTGTGCAGGTCAGCAGAGCCAGCCCCAGATGACGGACTACAGTAAGGCCTGGGAGGATTACTACAAGAAACAGAGTACGAGCCGCCTCCTGCTGGGCTGTTAGAGGCTCATTCATGCTTTCTGTCTCCTTTAGTTCGTTAGGTTTTAGTGCATGTCAATGGTCTGCAGAGGCTAGAATCCCTGTGCTCCCTCCAGAGTTTCAGGACTTGGTACCGGAGCATCGGTTCTTGTGTTATTGTCTCAAGTTGCTAGAATGCTAGCGTACAAACTGGTTTACTAAACTGTCTACGTTATGTAAACAATTGTGTTTCTGTTAGCTTTACTGTTAGCTTTACTTTGTCCGTTAGCTTTACTGTTAGCTTTACTTTGTCCGTTAGCTTTACTGTTAGCTTTACTTTGTCCGTTAGCTTTACTGTTAGCTTTACTTTGTCCGTTAGCTTTACTTTGTCCGTTAGCTTTACTGTTAGCTTTACTTTGTCCGTTAGCTTACTTTAGCTATGTCGTTAGCTTTACTGTTAGCTTTACTTTGTCCGTTAGCTTTACTGTCCGTTAGCTTTACGTTAGCTTTACTTTGTCCGTTAGCTTTACTGTTAGCTTTACTTTGTCCGTTAGCTTTACTTTGTCCGTTAGCTTTACTGTTAGCTTACTTGTCGTTAGCCTACTGTGTTTGTTAGCTTTACTGTTAGCTTTACTGTTAGCTTAACTGTGTTCGTTAGCTTACTTTGTTAGCTTAACTGTGTCGTTAGCTTTACTGTTAGCTTTACTGTGTTCGTTAGCTTAACTGTGTCCGTTAGCTTTACTGTGTCCGTTAGCTTTACTGTTAGCTTTACTGTGTTCGTTAGCTTAACTGTGTTCGTTAGCTTTACTGTGTCCGTTAGCTTTACTGTTAGCTTTACTGTGTTCGTTAGCTTCACTGTGTTCGTTAGCTTTACTGTGTCCGTTAGCTTTACTTTGTTAGCTTTACTGTGTTCGTTAGCTTACTGTGTCCGTTAGCTTTACTGTGTCCGTTAGCTTTACTGTGTTTGTTAGCTTAACTGTGTTCGTTAGCTTTACTGTGTCCGTTAGCTTTACTGTGTCCGTTAGCTTTACTGTGTTTGTTAGCTTAACTGTGTTCGTTAGCTTTACTGTGTCCGTTAGCTTTACTGTGTCCGTTAGCTTTACTGTGTTTGTTAGCTTAACTGTGTTCGTTAGCTCACTGTGTCCGTTAGCTTTACTGTGTTCGTTAGCTTCACTGTGTCCGTTAGCTTTACTGTGTTTGTTAGCTTTACTGTGTTTGTTAGCTTAACTGTGTTCGTTAGCTTTACTGTGTCCGTTAGCTTTACTGTGTCCGTTAGCTTTACTGTGTTTGTTAGCTTAACTGTGTTCGTTAGCTTTACTGTGTCCGTTAGCTTTACTGTGTCCGTTAGCTTTACTGTGTTTGTTAGCTTAACTGTGTTCGTTAGCTTCACTGTGTCCGTTAGCTTTACTGTGTTTGTTAGCTTTACTGTGTTTGTTAGCTTAACTGTGTCCGTTAGCTTAACTGTGTTCGTTAGCTTTACTGTGTCCGTTAGCTTTACTGTGTCCGTTAGCTTTACTGTGTTTGTTAGCCACCTTGGGCGTTATCTGATTGTTGACATGTTGTTGTGTGTTCCCAGGTCAGTCGTCTCAGCAGAGTTCGGTGCCGGACTACACCGCAGCGTTAGCAGAATATTACAGAACGCAGCCCTACCTGTGGAACGCCGCCCAGATACAGGTAGGTTCAATACCTGCTGACCAACAGTCAACAATGGTTGTTTTTAGCTAAACAAACAAGACTTTATTGATCCCAATTTGGGAAATGTTTGTGCTCGGCTGCCATCTAACTGAATGAATCCCATTATTTTATTCAAATGTTGGCTTTTGTTCAGGTATTTTTAAAGAAAGGTTGTTTATATAATCTGATAGAGTAAACATGGTGCGCCTGTGATGTCACTTCCTGTCCCCGCAGGATCACTAGAGGCTCCTCCCTCACCGGCGAAGGCCTCCGATTGGTCGTCAACGGCAAACCGAATCGGGGTTTCCTAGCATCGCTCTGCCGCTTCCTCCTCCTTCCTTTTGTAGAGAAAACTAAGGATTAACTGAAAAATCACGAACTCTCTTCTTTTCTGTTTTTTAACTTTACAAAGTCGAAATATTTTGTCGGGCAGATTTTTTGGGACTAGCCTCCGGTCTCTCGCTCTCCACGGTGTAGGCCTGGTTTTTCTTTTTGTTTTATTTTTTATCAAACTTGAACTTAAAGATGTATCAGTGTGGCTTCGAACAAAAAAAATCCAGTATAATCTATATTTTGTCTAGTTTTATTTTCCACTAAGACAACGGTATGAGGCTTAGCAGTCTTGAGTAAGACATTTTTGTTTATGATAATGTTTTTAAGCATGCGTCAGATTGTGTGTGTTGACTCTCAGTTATTTTTTTTTTATTTTGGCATAGAAATATTTTAATAGCGTCGGATGGAAATCTAATGTTTTACCGTCAGTTATTTTTTGTACTAAATTTGTGCTCGCTGGGTCTGTTTGTTCTCTAATTTTACCTGTTTAGTCGCCATCTTGGAGGTGCAATGACGCGTTTATTGTTTTGGTTTGATGATAGTTCTTATTCCTGTATCTCTATAGTGATTCTTTAGTTTTTATGATGTGATGATGAATAAATGACGATCTATATTGCGTTGTCTAAAGCCAGATCTCTCTGTGGTCGAGCAGTTTGTGTCCTGATCTCCCGCCGACACCACGTCCCCTCATTTAAACATGGGGAGAATTACTATTTTCTTACCAAGTGAAACTTTATTATTGTTGTTGTAAGTTGGCTCCGTATTTCTCTACTTTGCCGATTTGTTTGTAGACGAAGTGTCAGGAGCTGAACAATGAAGTTATCGATTCTATTAGCTTGTGCGTTAGCTAAACGGGCGAGCTAGCTTGTTAGCAACGAGATGTGCGTTACCTCAACTGTGTGTTAGCTGAGTGCATGTGGTGGATTAGCTGTTTCTGTTAGCTGTGTTTTATTCGCTCATTTTGTTCCTCAGAGTTATTAGTACATAACGCTCTTGTCACTCAGGAAATATTTTTAATTTCATCCATTTTGATAACAACTTGCAGAACTAGCAAAGACTCCAAAGAACCTTCATCAGAATTACGTAAAACCCAAAATACACTCATAACATCCATTCATCCACTTCAAAAGAAGCTAGTTGTAGCTGCTAACAAACTGCCATAACAATGAAATACTATTACAATTTACTAATTTAGGCCAATTTATATAATACCAATCGATAGCAAGCTAACGAAGCAACATTTGTGAATATGTCTCAGCTTTTCCAAACTCTAATTTGTTAGTGCGCTGGCAATATAACAATAGCTAGCTTATTCCCATGAGCTAACTGCATAGATGTTTGTTAGCTATACTGTGTGTGTTGTGACTGCTAGGTAGCTGTCTGTTAGCTCCAAAAAAACGTTGCTGGCATTTACTTCCTAAAAAAGAAAAAAAAACAATCCACTTTGCTACCTAAAAAGAAGCTAATACAACCTGCCAACAAAATGCCGAATGAATTTGAAACAATTAAAATCCATTATATCCGCTTTATATCCACTTGTCTACGTTAGTTACCTGGCTAGCTAAGGGAGCAACATCTTTGAATAATGTCTCAGCGTTTCAAAATCTCCCTAAATTAGCCGAATGTTTGTTAGCTAGTAATTTAGCATAGGCAGCTAGCAAGATAGCATATGATGCTAGCTAACTAGCGTCATATGCTAGCTGGACTTCATCAGCAAAACTATGTGTTGTGACTGCTAGGTAGCTGTCTGTTAGCTCTAAAGAACCTTTGCCGGAATTAACTTCCTAAAAATCCCCAATAGATTCCACGTTGCTAAGAAGCTAATCCAACCTGCTACCTAAAAAGAAGCTAATCCAAACTGCCGAAACAATGTGAAACAAGTAAAATCGCTTATTCAAGCTTTATATCAATTTATATACGTTAGTGACCTGGCTAGCTAAGGGAGCAACATCTTTGAATAATGTGTCGGCGTTCCAAAATCTCCCTGAATTAGCCGAATGTTAGAATTAGCTCGTATTTTAGCATTTGTAGCTAGTTAGCTTGCATATGACGCTAGTTAGCTAGCATCATATGCTAGCTGGACTTCAATAGCAAAACTGTGTTGTAGTTTAATGGTGCTGTATGTTTGTTAGCTTAACTGTGTGTGACCGTTGTTAGCCAAAGGGTGTTTGTTGTGTGTGTGTGTGTGTGAGCTGTTGTGTGTCCTTAAGGCTGGGTTATGTCTCAAACGTTATTTCGGATATTTTTAAAAACATGTACAAACGCAAAGTATTTTTTTGTTCAGAGTTTCAGGTTTAACCCATAACGCCTCCTTTAGCATACCTTCGTAGAGGGGTGATTCCAGCCTTTAGCCTTGTGTGTGTTAGCAGTGTGTGTGTGTGTGTGTGTGTGTCCGGTGTGTATTTGTGTGTCGGACCACAGAGAGGTTTGTCTTGCGTTGAGGGAGATCTGGCGTCTGTTGAGTTGAATTTTGAATCGGTGGTTCTGCTTCTTGTATGTGTGACGATGATAATAATAATAATGACGATAATAATGCGTTCTCCTGTGCAGGGGGTCTATTTAAATCTCCAGTTTTGAATATTCAGTTTGTCGATAAGATAATATGGTTTGTGTAAATTTTCCACTCTCTGGCGGGTGCTCTCCAGTTTAAAAAATGTACTTTGTTATCCTGTTAAAAAAATTATATTGTTTAATTCACATGTTGTGTCTAACCGATTTTGCAAAGAGAAGCTGAGTGTGTTATTTTCTCAAGACTGCTAGGCTAACTGTCTCTATCTCTTCTTCTTGTCTGTCTGTCTGCGTCTCAACGGACGTCGCCACGCTTTAAAAAAAGCTGCCGGGACTTTTTATTTGTCTGTAATCGGACCATGTGAGCGTTATCGTGGTGTTGAGCGCTCCCGCAGCCCGTTGGCGAGGCGAGGAGAGCTGTAGTGACGGGGTTTTACTCCCCGGGTAATAATACAAAATCACCGGAGTTGACGGCGGCTCGGTGTCCAGCCTCGGATCAGGGCTTCGGGTCTAAATCTGATCCCGGCTGAGCCCCCAAAATCCCGAGACTGGCCATAAAGTCGCCGTTTCCCGGTTTTAGATCTTCCTCGCCCCCACCCCTCGTCCTGAAGGGGTGACGGGGAGCTTTTTTGGTTTCTTGGTTTCTGTTGTTTTTCTAATGGACAAACGTCCTAACTGTAACCTGCAGATTTTTCTATTAGATTCTATTGACAGATAGAGTTGTATGAACCCGAGCCACGGGACTGTCGGTGGCCGAGGGAGAGGAAGATGGATGATGATGATGATGTTGATGATTAACATGAGGGCTAATAAACAGGCTCGTTCTTTCTGACTCGTGTCTTTATCTCTGTCTGATGCACAACACAAACAAGGGTGGAACTAACGTGTTATGGGATTTGATGAAAGAGGCCAAAAAGTCAAGTTACGGCCAACACACCATGTCCTCATAAAAGCTTCTTCTGCATTAGTGAGCCTGAAGATTCACTAGTCATGTGATCAATCATTTTAATATCTTGAGATCACTATGTCCAATTAGTTTATATTTTATTAATCAGAAATTGGAATATTGTTTTGTACCTGCAGCAAAAAAAAAAAAAATACACAATCAATATTTATTTATATAGCCCAATATCACAAATGTTACATTAGTCTCAGTGGACTTCACAGTTTCTACAGAATATCAGTGACAATACGACACCCTCTGTCCTTAGACCCTCTGTCCTTAGACCCTCTGTCCTTAGACCCTCTGTCCTCAGACCCTCACATCGTACAAGGAAACACTTCCAGAGAAACCCCACAGTTTAAAGGAACATGGGAGAAACCTCAGGGAGAGCAACAGAGGAGGGATCCCTCTCCCAGGACGGACAGACGTGCAATAGATGCCGTGTGTCAATCGAAGAGATAATACATTTTATAACATAGGTAGTCCAAATGTTTGGAAATGCATGTGTCTATAATAAGAAGATGAATCCACGAGGATGGCAACAATCCTGTGGGAGCCATCAGGGAAGTAGTATGATGAGAGTCAGGCAGGACCACAGAGACAGGTTCAGCCACGACTCGAAGTCCACGACTCAGGATGCAGGACTCAAAGTCCAGGACTCAGATCCAGGACACAGATCCAGGACACAGTAGAAAGAAGTATCTAAATAATACACAATATGAAAATACAAAATAAATAAGAATAACCAAAATGAACTACAATAACAGAATAATATTGACGTATACTATATCCGTCTAATCTTAATTTTGTATACAAATCCAATGCACCAAGCTTCTGTTCGTACGGAGCGAAGCTGAGGTTTAATAAACTGTTTAATTATTTTAACTTCTGTGATTTAATGTCCCAAAATACCAATTGTTTATTTTACCAAAAAACTGTCCTAAATATTTATGTATTACACTTTTTATATCAAGATAGTGTTTCTATGAGGATATTGGTTTTATTTAGTTGTGTGTGTGTGTGAAATATTTCTCCCATTTAATTTTCAACAATATTTTATTTACAATTAGTGTTCAGTTCTTAATATCATTTAAGTGGAAGATAATATTTGTCCTGTTCATTTTTTTTTTTGTGTTCGCGGTAATATAGTTTAAGTACTCGTGTCCTGACAGGAAAAGTGGGAATTATGATTTATTAATATTTGTATTATTAATGTTCCCCGAGCGGAGACAGATGGTCTGACTGACGGTGTGATGTCATCTGTCATTAAGACATGACTGTAATCACACACACACACACACACACACACACACACACACACACACACACACACACACACACACACACACACGCACACCTCGAGGGACCAGTAAACTGTGAGCTCTTCCTCTGCAGGTTTTCTATCAGTGCAGATTTTAAAATATGAACGCAGCACTAATCGTTGAATTTAAACTGATCATGCACAAAAATGTAATACATCTGTGTGTGTGTGTGTGTGTGTGTGTGTTCTTCTTTGCTAAATTAATCCATCCACCTGACAGGTGTGGTAATTAAAGCAGATTAAACAGCATCATTACATACTGCATATTGATGCGGTGCGATGTCTCCACTGAGTCTGCTTTACTCTTCATGGATTTATTTAAATTAGAAAGTATTATTATAGTAAATATCTAGTCCTTTGTTATCCTACGTATTTCTAATTGTTTGCAGTATAATGCACATATCTTAACACACCAGTTTCCTTATCATTTCTCCCCCCCGGGTATCAAACATATGTGATCTAATTCTGATAAAAGGCCACTAAATAATGATGACTTGCATGTTTTGTTCACTCTCACATCCTCCGTGGAGGAGGAAAGGCTTGTTCCTCCAGACGCCAACGAGGAGCAGGTGAGCTTCGTCTGTGCAGAGATTCTGATGCGACGTATCCAGTGGCGATTCTAGGGTCTGTGTGGGCCCGAGGCAAACATTCACTGGGGGCCCCTCGAACCAGCTTTTCATCACCACGCACACCCGACAGCCCCCCCCCCCCCCCCCAATGAAACTTAAAATAAGAGGCAGCATTTGACGGGGCGCCTTGAGGGGGTTTCCCGACATGTCGTTGCAGTAAATTAAAGGGTGTTTCAAGTTGTCGTTGCTGTGGACCTTCTTTGGGGGCCCCCTTCTGGTCCAGGGCCCCAAGCAGTTGCCTGCCTTGCCTGTTCGCATAGCGGCGGCCCTGGACGTATCAGAAATGGGAATGACCTTGAATTGATTGTATTGTCTTTTTTATTTCCACACGACGGCTCCCCCAGGTGTATACAAAATGTCCGCCATGAATTGGGTTTTTCTCCCGTTAACCGGGTCGTCTTCATATTCTGTACAAACCATAAAGTCCACTGAGACGAATGGAGAATGTGTGATATTGGGCTATATCAATGAACTTTGATTGATTGAAAATGATCAATTATCTGCAGAATTTCCACCTGGAAAATGTCAGGGATTTCCTTGGAAGAAAAAAACTTTGAAATATTTGTTTACAGAAGTTGGTCAAAAATCGTGAAACGCCTCCATCGGACTCCTTAGTGACATCACTATCGAACACTCACGCTCCTATTGGCTAGCGCTCCAACACATTGTACGAGATAGGCTAAAGGGGCGGGACATCTCTAAGCTGGTTGACCAATCACAACAGAGCCGGCCAGCTAACCAATCAGAGCAGACTGGGCTCTGGTTTCAGACAGAGGGTGAAAAGAGGTGCTGCAGCACAGGCATGTATGAGGACAATAAAGAGCTTTCTGAACATTAGAGCATGGAGACATGTCCCAGTAGAGACACTACATAGAGACATGTCCCAGTAGAGACACTACATAGAGACATGTCCCAGTAGAGACACTACATGGAGACATGTCCCAGTAGAGACACTACATAGAGACATGTCCCAGTAGAGACACTACATGGAGACATGTCCCAGTAGAGACACTACATAGAGACATGTCCCAGTAGAGACACTACATAGAGACATGTCCCAGTAGAGACACTACATAGAGACATGTCCCAGTAGAGACACTACATAGAGACATGTCCCAGTAGAGACACTACATAGAGACATGTCCCAGTAGAGACACTACATGGAGACAGAGACACTACATGGAGACAGAGACACTGCATAGAGACATGTCCCAGTAGAGACACTACATAGAGACATGTCCCAGTAGAGACACTACATAGAGACATGTCCCAGTAGAGACACTACATGGAGACAGAGACACTACATGGAGACAGAGACACTACATAGAGACATGTCCCAGTAGAGACACTACATGGAGACATGTCCCAGGAGAGACACTACATAGAGACATGTCCCAGTAGAGACACTACATAGTTTTATTCTAATGCAGAAAGTTTTCACATTATTCCAATTCATAAAAACCTGGAAAATATTCAATAATATTTTTTACTGGAAACAATAAGGACTTTGACGTCAATCAGAAGATGGGGATGAAGAGGATGAAGAGGATGGAGAGGATGAAGAGGATGGAGAGGATGAAGAGTGAGAGGAAGGTGGATCTTATTGTGAAAGAGAGAGAGGAGGAGGATAAAGAGAGATGGATGAAGAAAGGTCGACATCATGAGTAATGGAGAAATCAGACAGGAAACAACAAGAGGTGAAGAGTGTACTGTTACTGGCAGAGAGTGTGTGTGTGTGTGTGTGTGTGTGTGTGTGTGTGTGTGTGTGTGTGTGTGTGTGTGTGTGTGTGTGTGTGTGTGTGTGTGTGTGTGTGTGTGTGTGTGTGTGTGTGTGTGTGTGTGTGTGTGTGTGTGTGTGTGTGTGTGTGTGTGTGTGTGTGTGTGTGTGTTGCGGTGCGGTGCGCAGTGGTCATAAAGTACAGGAAGGAGCTCTGTAAGTACAGATGAAGCTGATTAAACATTAAAGTGATGGCGATCTGGATCTCGTCCAAATGTCTCCCGTGATGCTCAGGGACCAGCGATAAACTGTCCGTCTCTGTAACCCGGCAACAGCCTGAGAACACATATTATGGGATGGTGGAGCGCGGGACCCCGCCGGAGAAAACATGAAGTCATTATCTGATGCTCTTTAAGGGTTTTCACTACGGCAGCTCAGCGAGGATCCGTGTTATAACGCTCAGAGCAAGAGGGGTATTATTATCCAGAGTAAAACGTGTCTGCATTTGATTGAGCTGTATATATTCACGGCTTTTATTCATGTGTTCTATACCTGTTGTGTTTATTTCATTATCTTTGCTTTTTAATGCCTGTTTTTAAATGCCCTTTTATCATGTGTTTCTGCTGTATTTATTCTTAAATGTCTTTTATTTTAATTTGCACTTTGAATTGCCGTGTGCTGAAAGGTGCTGTATAAATAAACGTGCCTTACAAAGGTCTAACAGTCTCGGAGAATGCGTTTTCCCTTTATTCCAAAAACTAAATAACCATTGGATTAAACGTCCAGTATTTGAAAAGATTTGTAAAAAACGCAGTTATGAGTTAGTCCTGTAGTTTCTGGAGGCTTTAAATCCTATAAAAGTATTTTTATTTAAGCCCTAAATGTTGATTTAGGAGATTACGCCAGGGCAGCGTGGATCCGTGTTATAACGCTCAGAGCAAGAGGGATATTACAAAAGTCTAAAAGTCTCTAGAATACATTTTCCCTTTATTCCAAAAACTAAATAACCATTGGATTAAAAGTCCAGTATTTGAGAAAGATTTGCATTTGATAGAAATTTAAATTAAATCCCAGAATTTTCTTTTGATTCCTGGAAAAAAAAATCCCCTTTTCACAAAACCCCAATACACCGAAAAATCTGAACCGTTGACTTTAATTAAATGTAATATGTCAGCAAATTTCACATAACTGTATTAGGTTAGTTGAAAGCAATAATATTAAG